AACAGGAGGGTCGTCTGTCCATTGAGGCTGAACTCCCAGGATGCACCAGTGCCTCTCTGTGCTTCACACTGACAAGACAGCGTGGCCTGCAGGATGCGGGGACCTGCCATCCACACAAACACCTGTATCACTGTGGCGCCCCATCTCCCCCACGAGTGGGGTTCAGGGTCTCTGCACAAGAAAGGGGCCGGGTTCTAATCACCTGGTCCCGCCCCTCATTGCCTACCAGGTTCATGTGTGTCTAAGGTGGGACAGTGCTCAGGTTTTGGCACAGAGCCGCTCCCCAGCTGGGCTGCCCACCCCTCTTGCCCACTGTCCCAGCTCCCCCACACTCCCAACACTCACCCTTGGTCATGCTTTGGTCCAGTGTGATGTGAGACAGGGTCATCCTGAGGTCTCTGCCCATGTTCCTCAGTGTCTGGGTCACTTGTGTCCATGTCCCACTGGCCTTTACCTTCTCCCCCAGGGGACCCAGAGGTGTGCCCTTGTTGCTGTCACAGTCGTACTGAAGGAAAGGCTTTCCATCCACTGAGCCCCGGGCTTCCCCCCATGGGAGTCCCAGAGGAGCCTGAGTCTTCACAGTGAGGTTGATGTGCAGAGAGTGATAATCTGGGAGAGAAAAATGTGGGTGAGGCCTGGGGACACCTGTGCAGGGCCTGCTGCAGAGGGAGGGGTCTTCTCCAGCCCCTCATCATCTGCACCCCAGTCCTATCTCACCTTGAGCAGTCTGAAGTGCATCTATCATGCTCCCCTGGGGTGCAATAGCTTTACTGGGAGGTCTCAGCTGACTGATATTTTTAGTGACATCTACCACGTTCTGAGACTCAAAAGCTAGAGTCTACCATGTTCTAAGGCTCAAAATATAGAAGACTCAGTCTATCCCCCCCGGATTTAAAACTTGATTATAGGAACTGGCAAAATATGAACAGGAAAGGTGAAAGTCACCACAGGACACCTCAGATTCCTAATGCACCCGTTGTAGGAAAGGCTCCTGGAGAAGGTGGGCCCTGGCTGGAGGGACAGCTGCCTCTGTGAGCACAGGGAATGGAAGGTACCATAGGCTGATCGTTGAGAACTGGGTGCAACACCCTGGGGAGCCTCTCTGGACAGACCACACCCAGGCTCTCTTTAGGAGACAGGCAAGGCACCCCCTGTGAGACCTGCACCTGGAGCCTCTGCTCAGCTCCTCCCTCTACTCACCTTCCCCTTGAGACCCAGGACACTCAAAAGTGTCCTGGGCTCCTCCCAGCAGGGGCAGCAGCAAAAGCAGGCAGACTGTGGGAGATGCCAGGGTCACCACCATTCCTGAGGCCTGGGGTGAAGAGAGCATCTGTGAGAACCACCTCTGCCTGGGTTTGTACTTAGTGTAGAATTTATAAATAAGGAGACTGGTCAACATTCATCCCTCCTCCAAATTCCTAAGGACTGCCTTGGAAAGAGCATACCAATGGCAAGAGAGTATCTTACAAGGATTTAACTGTAATAGTCACAGCAAAACTCCAAAATGGGAGGGAAGAGCACAAGGGACTGCAGAGATGGATGTGGGTGCTCTGGAGC